ACTTTTTCATTTTGTTGGGAAGCTTGCTGGGACTTCTCTGGTTCACAGCTGCAGAACGGATTAATTTTATTCTCCCCTGAATGAGATCTTCAGTACCACCATAGCTTCTAACTTGGAAGCAGCATGCAAAGATACTACAAGACCAAAATTATTCCATCATCAGACAGTGTAGAAGAGAAACAGGAACAAAAAATGGATAAAATGCTAAGACTTGATTCAACTAATATGTGCATATTAGCCTTAAGCATCCCTACTTTGTGAAGCACTAAAGCATGGTCTTGAGCTTCATTGAAGTAAATGGGATTTACACAGGTCCTGAAGGTAATCACATGCTTCACTGCTCCATTAAATCAAAACACAAGTGTTACATGGAAAGGTTTATCCTCAGGGAATTCCATTGAAATACAGGGTGAAATAAACCTATACTCATTTTAAAGTATTTATGATTAAAATGCACACAAAAAATGTGCTAAGAGGACTGTAGGTTGCATAAGAGCTCAGCCTCAGAATAGCACTTTGTTTAACAAGATATCTGAGACATAAGACCTGTTTAAGTGTAAAATCAGAAGTAATGACAGTAAAAACAAGGCAAATGCAGCTGAGATCAATATTAAACCCCAGAGAAGGGGATTTTCTAAAAGTATGGGGGGAGGGGAAGAAAAATGGCAGAACAGGTCCCCAGAGAGCATGATAAATGATGATGGGTTAGGCAATACAGTTCTGCTTCCAAAAGCCAGGCTTAATCCTCACTCAGGAGTAGACATTGTGCCATGCATTTAATCTATCCCTTAGAGTCAAAAGGATCAAAAGCATCACACAGATACTTAAAGGGAAAGGTCATAGTCCCACTGAGGACTAATGAGTATATCCGTTCCTGCAAGTGTGGGTATTTCTGGTGAGGGAGCTAACACTGCAATGTTTCTAGCGTTAACTCTGGCTATAGGGTGTTTGTTGTCACATCGGCTTCGTGAACCCTTCCCCTTTGCTCCAAACTACCCTCACACTGTGAGCTAGCAGCTCCCCATGTTTCTCCTACAGCTTTTCCATACTTTTCAGCAAAGGGATTTCTTTAACAAAACTAAGCTCTGTGATCAGATCACCCGAAGCCACTGCAATGTCTCAAAACTACCAAAGCCTTTGTGGTTACAGAAGAATTGTAGAGAGCTGCTATAATTTAAGAGCAGGGATTTTTTTTCCACTATAGTGGTTCAATGTGTGTTGTGCGCACACATGTGCTTCAGCACAGATGGAGAATCAAATGAATATCAGACCCTTTGGTGTGAGTTCAAATTTCCTGAAGGTGTTGGAATGTCTGTAAAACATCAGATGCCCTTTTGGTTGTTTTTTATAAATACATTTTAATTCTCTGCTGATTTGACATTTCACTTTATTTAGGAAAAATGTGAGAAAAAATGATAACAACTTAAAAAAAATTATTACGGAAAAAAAGAACAGGGAAAGGGAAGGAGGCCTCTATGTCCCTGGCAGCTACCTGTGTTTCTTATGCAAAGCCACCTATGATTCTTCTACAGCCACAAACAAGCCAGGTTTTCTTTGTGCTCTGTCCAGAAAGGAAGTTTAAAATATGTACATCTACTCCAAAGCTATTAATCTTTTTTACAAGATTATTGAGGGGAGTAGAGAACCATTGTCATCTTTCTTAAAATAGATTTTCCCCAAAGCTTCAGGAATCTTTAAAGTAAGGTTTAAGATATTCTTTCTTTCTTCTCTCCTAACATATTCTCTTAAAAATAGTTACTTTAACACTGATTAACTTTTCTACTAATTATATAATTTTTTCTGTTTCTTCAGAAAAACAGGAAATATCTCCCATCCTACTGCCTTTAGAGCCCTGCATAGATGGCATTAGTTTCAGCTTGCTACTGCCAACCCAGACCCACAGGACTGGACAAGCTGTGCATCCTCAAAGGCTGAAAGTTAGGTTACATGAAATAATTTCTAAATGTGAGAAAAGTAAGCAGAAAAAATCAACAATCTCTGAACCTTCAGATTTTCCAAAATAGTTTTAAATGCACATTGAAAGTAACATAAGGCAAAAGAGCAACAAAAATCAGTCAGGCCCTTAAACAAACGTCATCACTGCTTAGTTAGAGTGTTAATTATTATCACAAAGTGAGGAAACCACAGAATTGTTGGACCAAATACACGATTCATGTGGAGAAAGTAGTACAAACAAACCAAAAATACATAATTTTCCACAGAACTATCTAACCTAGTACAATACAGCTTGCATCCCAAGGTTACTATAGCCTTCCATATGCCTCTAATTTATTAACTGTCTCAGCTATGAGATTACAACTGGAATAATTCTGAGTGCCATTAAGAAGGAGCTTGGTGTATAAACTCTACATCCATTGTATTATGACACTAACACTGGAGAAACAACCTTCTCCCATATTCTCACATTTGCAATTTTTTTAAGTCTTTTAAACTAAGATGCGCAGTTATTTCACCTGAGCCATGCACATGGTGAAAACCATGTCCTTTTCAGTGCAATATGGCATAGGGAGAAGTGATACATATAGTTCAAAAGTTATCCCAGAGAATGACAAATACCAGGGACTGCACATTAAGTCAGCAGAAAGGCCACAGTAAGTAGCTTCTGAAGAATCTGTCTAGAAGGTATTCATTTTCTCCCTTCTATCTCAAGGTGATTTGTTACCTGAATCTTAATAAAAAAAAACCCACCATATCCTAGTATGCATCTAATAGGGGAGCATTATATAGCTGTGCCACAGAGATTTTATTATTAATGGACCAATCTAGCTATTTACAATGTTCAGAGCAAAATGGAGATTAGGAAGTTCACTGATCTGTTCTCTCAGAATTAAGAAGGACAGATCCTTTCCTGGTATGAAGTCATCACAATGAGAATTTTTTAGAGCATCTCCTTGCTATATACTGATGTCATATATGATAAAAAGCTAACCTGACATATTTAGGTTATGTCTCTATTACCACATTTACCTGAAGTCAATAGACACAGTGCCAGATCTTATTTTTAGATTGATAACCAGTAATATTTTACAGATATGTACAGACAAGGCAAGGAAAAATCTGCAAGTGCCTTACAAAGGTGATTGATAGAAAAAAATTCACAAATTAAAACTTCCAGTCAACCCCTGGAAATTCCTACCAGCAAAGTCCTAAAACTGGTGTACTAAATGCAGTTGAACTGCTTTAAAGTTAGTTAACTGAGGTCATTTGCTATTAGCTACTTAAGGTAACTTGCCTAGCTTAACTTAAACCAGGTTTAACATGGTCTAGTTTTTCAACTGACCCAAAGCAATTCCATTCCTGTATTTTCTAGCTGATGTACAAATTAATTATTTTAAATGTCTCATACTTAGCAACTTGCAAGCAACGCCAATGCTGCACAAAATAATTCCTTGAATTTATTACCATCTTTTTAGAAAGTTTATTTAAAAGAATATAACCCAAATATGTGCTTTTCTGTGAAACATACTTTTCAAGTTCATTTTGCCAGAGAAAATACTCATTTTCCAGAATGGCATATTTCATTCACTACCAAAGAGGAGTGACTGTAACATAAAACTAGTGGCTACTTTAGAAGAAAGAGAAACAATTTGACATGGTAGGTCTGGTATCCTTCTGCAATATCAAATGAAGCCCTATATTTTCAAAATGATGCATGGGAATTTAAGCACGTGGTGCCCATTAAAGGCAATGCCAGCTCTCATGGTTTATGAGGTCACCATAAGTCCTTGATGGAATTACACCCTTGTCCTGTATGGCTTATTCTCTTGTATCACAGAGTCTGAACAAAAGCCTATAAAGTCAACAAAAATGTCTGCAGTCAGTTTGGTCAGGTTGATCAGGTATTTCCACTAGAAAGAGGGAAATGAGAGGAAAAAAATACTGAACAATTGTTAGTTCAGCAGTGTGGCATGGGTTCTGTTCTGATACATACTCCTGTATAGTAAGGGGGAAATAATATCTTCTCATCATCATGCTGGAGGCATCTGATAGGAAAGAGAAACACTGAGGAATATTCCTTGAAAAAACAAACGGACATCCTGTGAGAATGCAATTATAAAGTCATTCTTTAAACATACCTAACAGCTATCATATAACAAACACAGTATACTTGAGGAATAAATATTCTGGACTCTTTGTGCATCACCTGCATATTTAGAATTTGCTGTATTGTTGCACATCTGTCAGTTTTGTATTTACTGGACTGAATCTTTTAATAGCAATCACACACTAATAACATTAAACTTCCAAAAGTGAAACACAGCACCCAGTTTGCACAAAGACTTTGCACATTGTTGTGTTTTAAAACACTCAGTAGTTAATAAAATACTGTGGTCTATTGCTATATTGATTTTCATATTCTTTCAGTTGGAATATGATCTTGCTTTAGCAATAAACTGATATGTTGATTGAACACTTTCCAATCCTCTAGCTTTCAGGTAGTGCTCCTGTGGTTATATTACTAAAACACGGTGACTTGCTATAGATTCCTGAATCTATGTATATAAGATATAGTGATTTTATTCAGAAAGTAGGTACTTGTCATGCTACATGATAATATTCAACATTAAAAGATGAGCCAGCATGTTTCTAGGAGTTTGTGTGCCTATCTGACATAGTCAGGATTCTATCAGAGTATAAGGTGTCCTAAGCCAGTTAAGAATTTAGGGAGCAATTTGTATGCACACACACATTCATACATACATAACTCGCAAACAAAGATCTAGAAAAAAGTAGTATGTGTGGTATAGTTAGGTTCTGTGCTACCCTGGCCAGCCAAAAACATAGACAGTGCAACACTGATTTTACAGCAACCCACAAAATAGAATCAGATGGGGGGGGGGGGGGGGGAGCTGATGCTTAACATGACACCTCTCTGAACTAGGGGATATAGATGACACAAATATAGCTGTACTGCTTCTGTATTCAGGTGTCTTCATACTCAGTGCCCTATCTGTCCACAAGCTGGATAGGTCACCTACCAGAGAAGTGTGAATTAACCATACAGGGAATGCAGTGCTGTATCAAATGAACTCCTGTAGCAGCTGTGGAGGCTGTGGCAAAGTTTCAGAGCCTTTGAATGGCTGATCCCAGTGGTACCATGGCTTTTCATTTTCCAAGAAAGATTCTTTTAACACAAGCTGGAGTATATTTTCTTGTGTCTTTTGTTTTAGTCTCTTAGTATTCTTTGGAAAGAAAAAAAAAAAAAAACAGTAAAGTTCAGAGTGGGGGCAGCTTTTTCATTACAGAGGATTGAATCACTCGGTAAAGGACAAAGTTTATAGCAGGAATCCTGTGAAAGAAGCATTGTGTACATATGTTCACATCCAAACCTTATGATATAGCCTGCAATATTTTACCTTTTGCAGCCAGACTGCTTTCCTTGCCTTTGCTTAAATGAGCAGTCAGAATATACACAGCTGGCCCGGGTTATTCCCTTCTCCCATAATCTCTTCACCCTTCTGAACATCAAGCCCCAGCTAAATTTTACTGGTAAAGACAACACTATGCAGAGGAAGAAATATGCATTCTTTGTGCTGTACAGCTGAGCAGGGCTAATAAAATGTCCTGGGCAACAACTTAGAAGGTGTAAAGGAAAGGGTGGTACTGCAGGTGGTTCTGGGAGGGGAGGGATGCTGGCTGTGATGGGGACCTGTCTGTCATTGAGCTGAAGCCGATGCCAGCCGTGCTGCATGGTTTGCACAATGCTACCCCAAAAGTGACTCCTGATTTGTGCAGTGCTTGACTTCCATCCGAGGGCGTTTTGTATGAGCTGAGGTGAAGGTTGTTTGAAGTCTTCTTCTAAACATAACTCAGGTATTTGGCACGGATAAATACTCTGTGAGCAGCACAGAATCACTGCTTAGGAAGCTGCAATCTCCAATGCCCTGTTTCTGAGGCAGTGTTCACAGCCCTGATACAAAGGCTGGAGTATGACAGACATGCAGCCACAGCGCCCAGGCTTTTAAGGTGCTTGTGTAGAATGAAAAGACTGAAACCAGTATTCTAGGGTTGCCCCTTCAAGGAAACCTTCCAGGTCTTCCCCCTCACGCCGTGCAGGGCCCGCTGTACCGGTGCTGTCGCCACGCTCCCCGCCGTGCTCACCCGCAGCTTGCTCCCGGCAGCACGGGTCACCAAGCCGTCCAATGGCCAGGTACCTCAGCGGGCCGGTGCGGAGCACGGCCGCTAGGGGGAGCCCCGCTTCCCGCCAGGCGGGCCGCGCTCAGGGCCGCCGTTGCCATGAGGGCAGAGCAAGGCTGGGGTTGTGGGGGGCGTGCGGGGCGCGGGTGTTATCTCCTTGTACCGCACGGTCCGGCTGTAAATGCAATGTGGAAAATGTTAGTAAATCTCAGTGTGGAGGGCAGATTGGTTGGCATTCAAACCGAAATGTTTTCCAGGGTAAAATCAAGCACTCCACCAGCACTTTTTGGAGAACACAGCAATTTGTGCAAGCTATTGCTGAGGATACCGCATTTAAAAGATAATTAAAATAACCCCTTCCGTGCAAAAACTCCAGGTTGCAAACGGAGTGGCTGTGAGGATCACTTGCTGGAATTAAGCAGAAAGCTAAAAGAAAAATGTAATTCACAAGTAAAAATGAAAAGCTGAGGAAAAGTGGGGTGGTTTGGGGGGTTCGTTTGTTGGGTTTTTTTTTTGCCCCTGCCATTCTAAATCCATGTTTCTTTCTGAAAAGTATTCATTATTTTCTCATTCAGTAAATATAAATTAGTTTTACAACTTTTTCTGCTCCAAATAATTGACTCAAAATGGACGCATGAAAATAGACTGATGCAAGCTTTGAGATTAGGATCCCAGGCTATAGAATAGGAAAAACTGAATTAATTCCCCAGTGAAAAAAAAAAGCATAACTCAAGAAGATATGATTTATTAGGAGAAAAAGTAACTCATGCTTTCCTGTTAAGTTATAATATGAATGGTAGCATTTTGAACTCTTGGCCTAAAATAGTTATATTAAGCTTTGATCCTTAGGACATTAACAGACAGGAAGCAGAGGAGTGAATTGGGGTGAATTTAATAGTATCCAGAGATAGAATAATTAACCCTTATGGTGCCTATTAGCAGCTAGGGTCTGAAGGAAAATGATTTAGAAAAATAAGACCAGGAAGGGAAAACAGGTATTTCTGAATATTATTAGGTATATAAGTTTTTGGAGAGAAGATTATGCCAACCTTCCTTAATATGAGTCATTAAGTGAAGGCCAAGTTTGTCTTCTTTATCATCCACCAAAGAGGATATCTGTTTGCAAAGAGGCTGAAAGGTTATAGGCCACTGGTTACTGTCGCTGCTCATTTCTTGAGGCTTTATTCTCTTCTTACGTTAGTGAACTTTTCATTAAATGTACTTTTTACAACACCAATATGAGTACATAGAATAACAAAAGTTATTAAGTCATAAGAGCTGCAGATGATCTCCTTTCTTTTCAGTCTTATTTGTAAACTAGATCTCAAATGTATTTGGTCAAAGACTAGGCCTGTGTAAGTTGACCAGGCAGAGGACACAGAGTAGTATACTCCCTGATTTACTTCCAAATGTCCACATCAGTTCATGCTGTTCAGCATAGCACGTCTTCCTTGTTGTAACAACCTGAGCTCAGGCTGTCTATAAACACATCTTTCTGTCTCTTCAGTGGTATTATGACCCTTCTAGGAAGGACTCAGAGTAGCTAGTTTTGTCCAACAGAACATCAATAGGCTTGGGAAGGGTGTGTGGGCTGCAACACAGACAGGCTCAAGTGCAGATTCAGACCTGTGCTCAAAACACAGGGTGGCTGTGCTCACGTCTACCTTCCTATTTAACTGCTATGTTAAGCACTAGTTTGCTCCCACAAAAAACCTCAAAAAGTACCTGAAAACAACATGCAGGACAGTATGCATATTCTGTAGCTAACAAAAAGTCTATAGGCTAAGAGGTAAAATGATTCCATAAAGACGAGAGATGTTCTTTACATCAAAAGAAGCAGCACTTCATTTTCAAAGGTTAAGACATCAGCACAGGTGACAACGTCTTTCAAAGTGTGGAGTAGATATTAACCCACTTTACTAAAGCAATGCAAATGCTCAGGAAGATGTACTTCACATGATTGTGCATTATATACCAAAAGGGAAAGGAAGGAAGGAAGAAGAAATCTCCCCAGCCTTTCTGCAAATGCATACAATAGAAGTCATTGAAAAGCCTCACAGTATTTTGCAGTACTGGACAGTAAATCAATGTAATCTACATTTCTGCAGTAGCAGGAAACTTTCCAAATGATCGCTATAAATGAAGCACATGTTTTACGTATAGGTTACTATTTTTGGCAGTCCATCAAACCCCTTTGATCTGTAGACAGTGGGGCTTCATCCAGCCAGCAGGACAAGAATAAAAGGCCCGTATTCTGTCTTGTGCCAAGATCCACTCAGAACAGGAGATGGGAAGCCGGCTCTGGTCACACAATTCAGTGGCTGCTGAGCTTGAGCTGCAGCAGAACTATATAAGCTTAAAAACTACATAAGACTATGTAGCTCAAATCTACCCTAATTAACCCCAGCTCATTTCAGTCCCCTAGATGTACCCATTGAGAATCGAGAGCACTCTGTTCTGGGTATCTCAGTCATTACCTTTTGCCAGCATGGGGACAGGAATTGGCATGAGAGCCATTTATACTGCCTTGCACTGGCTGCATGGCTGCCTGCACAGGGAACATTCCCTGGGGGCCAGTTAAGGCAGTGCTTTGCAACACCTGCACAGTACAAAGTGACGGAAACCAGCACAGAGAGTCTGGCTCATGAGTCCTCAAAATGGAAAAGGACAGATGAAAAAAACCCACACCAAGGCAAGGGAAACCAGGCAGCACAGGAGGATTAGCAAGAAAAGACCAGAAAGAAAATTTATAAAATGGAGCAAATCACTTCCTGACTGCAACAGAGCTGAACTTCAAAAAAGATCCACTAAGTCCACAGTGCCACTGACCAGGATGCACAGTGTGTGAGTGTCCTCCATCTCCTCTGGTTCCTCATCAAAGATGATGTCGAGACTTATGCCTCCCTTTTGGAACAGTTCTGGGAGTTCAAAATGGGCCTTACTCCGTTACAGCCCCTGTATAAAGGAGCAAGCAGCAATGAGAAGTTTTGCCATGTGTGATAATGCACTGTGGGACAGGAGTGTCTGATATCTGTGGTTTCATGGCTCTCCAAGTTGATTGCAACCATAGGGAGCAGCCAGTGTTGACAAAGAGAATTACAAATATCTAATTTGCCCACTACATTCTTTTTTTCTTCTTAACTCCGAAATTCATTATAATCATGGTATATATATAAAATACATTTTCATTAGCCCATCGTCAAAGCATGCAAATCTTAACACCCCTCTGCTGTCTGAGTGACATATTTCAGGAATAACTACTCAAAAATAACTGCTGTAGATGTGTCTGGCTGCTGAACATGAAAGTATGGGTGCTGCTGACTGCCTGGCAGCTGGCCCAGCATTTAACCCTGCTGTTTTAAAATGTCGTAAAATAAGCACAATTTAATCTTTTGAAACCTTTTGGTCAGTGACTGTGATTTCCGCAAAACATGACTTCAAAGGAAAGACAGGCACCTTTGTTGATGCTTTTTTAAGCAGTCATGAGTTCCAAATTATTTTAAAAAAGGGAAGCAGAAACCTCAAAGTGTGTAACACCTCCTCAGAATTAGATGCTGAAGCGATATGTAAACTGGGCTGTAAAAATCGATCTTACACTAGCGATGTGGTTCAGAATGATATAATTAAAAGATAATGTCAATCGAAAAAGAATATCATCATAGACTAATGGGCTCCTCCTGACATATAAATATTGGAGCAAAGCCCCTATTTTCATGAAAAAATACCATTAAGAATCCAAGTTATTTTATTTTCAAAGCAGGATGTGTTGAAAATGTTCTATTTCTGTCGCTACATTTCTATTCTGCCAAATGTCTGACACAGAGTCAACACTTCCACCTTGCAGTGTTCATGTAACATACAGCATCCCTCTGTGCCTTGAGAGCACCATGCTTTTACCTGTGTAAAAAGCAGCCTACTTCTGCAAATAGTGATCCTTTTTGTTAATAAGTTGCAAACTTAATATAGACTGAAGGTTTTCTCTCCAAACTTAGATGTGGGGAAAAAAAAATGTCCATATTTAATCATTTGACCTAGATCCCATTCAACTTGATTTAGGAAACATGGACATTACTAGGCATGAAACCATTTAAGGATAAGGTGACTATTTCTCACCCAGTGAAAGCTGAGTTAAAAATTCCCTTTAAACACATGAGAGAGTGGATGTGGAAAAAAAAAGAATGTGAAGATATCAATAAGTAAATAATGAAACATATTTCCAATCTACAGCAAATTACTCTTTTTACCTTCATAAAAAAAAAAAAAGAAATAAAAAAGTAGCCTTTCTTCTCTTATTCTCAGATTTGCTCTGCAAGAAATAAAGAGTGATATGAAGAGCATTTGATCCACCAGAGTATGCTGGGATGCACTGAAAATGCCTACCACATGTGGCCTTCAAAAGTCTTAGGCATCTTCTGCTTAGTTCCTAGCTTAGACCGGTCCAAGGAAGAACTGGCTGATAAGCTGTTCCGACCAGGCTGATGTGGACATGATCTGGTCAACTATTGTCACCTATAGAACTTTAAAATCAAAAAGGGAGGTGCCTTTTGAGACTAGGCGCCTCCAGGATTAGACAGCAGCCAAGCACGGGTTTCTGGAGAGCCCTTTTGGATGCTGTTCCACATGCATCCTTCTTTAGGTGCCTAAGCTCTTTACTAGAGCTAGCCAGAAAGGCTACATTCCCATTGAAGACAAGGATTTACATTAACTTAAGTAGATTGGTTCAGGACTTAAAATGAGAACCATGTGTACATCCTTATGAAGACTCTGATCCCTTCTGTTTATTCATTGTGACTTTTTGTTATATTGAACCATTCACATGCATTAATCCACAAATAATACGTCAAGAAATATTCTGGAGAGTAAGAGAGTTGTGGATGTTCATGGCCATAGTCTGCTACTCTCAGTGGTTCTGGAACCATAGCAGCCATCCTGGCTAACAGGCCAGTCAAGCCACATACACCATTCAGGTCATGCATAAGCTTTGATTGTATTACTTGGTTTTGGCTCCTCAATACTTTTCCATGGAGCTGAAGAAAAGGAGGGCATATGGAATAGAGAAGCAGGAAAACTAATGAATGAGAGAATATAACTTTCAGGG